TCTATGCATAATAATCTTTAACTGGATTTTTTTTTCATCAACATGACTTTCAAGACTGATTCATCTTGATACAGTTGGCTCTAGTTCATTAATTTGACCTATGCTGTGCTCTCATTCTATGACTAGACCAAGTTTCATTTTTTCCTTCTTCTGTTAATAGACATTTAAGTTGCTTCCATTTTTTTTTCATTTTTACAAACAATGCTATAATCAACGTTCTTAGCCTTATCTCTTCGTGGCACATTTGTGAGTGATTTAGGAATAAATGGCCAGATTGTAGAGTATGAACATCTTCAGTTTAGTAAATGTTTTCAAATTATTCTCCAGAATAGTTGTATAGAAAAATTTCCTTTTCCAATAATCTGATATTCATGGCAACCTGAAAATTCTCCCAATATGCAACACCTAGAAATACTGGATGAAATACAAAAAGCAATGTTTTAAATGGATAAAGAAATCTCAAGAAAACAAGGAAATCCCCAGGGCCCAGATAATATTAAAAAAAAAAAAAAAAAGATTGTGGAGGAAATGCATGGAAATCCGGAGCCATAGCTATAATACTAATGGGGATTTCCTAGAAAAAAGGTTTGGGCCCCAGGCATGTAAGAGGCTGTATAATGTTTTTAGGGATCTCCTATCCATCCTCTGGATAAAGAGTTGAAAGCTAAAACACTAGGCCATGGTAAAAGAAAAAAAAATTTGCTACAATGATGATCTTGCCATCATCCAGACACTGTGGAACGTGGACCCACCTCTGAGTTTCAATTGGGATTGGTCTACTCCTGTCTTCTTTCTCACCAGCCATCACTTCAGTCTCCTTGGTAACCTACTTCTGGCTTCCTGTCTTCGCTGCTGGCTCTGGTTTTCCAGCTTCCACCTTGACTGAGGCTTTGCCCCCCTCCTGCAACTCTTGGAGGCTGACCTCTGATGCCACCCTCTTCCCATCCCAAGGCTGGGGCTCCCTTGTGGGCTCCCTCAAGCCCAGCATGTTCTTGTCTCCCTTTCTTCCAAATCCTAGTTTGTGGTGACAGGACGGAGGTTGTATTAGAAGAAGAATTAGAGATTAGAGCGCTTTACAGTAGTTTGGTAATGGGATCAGAAAGTTTGGGATTATATTAAATAGGGTGAACCATCCTCTATGGGCCAGGTTCTGCCCTCAGCGCCTCCAAGATTTCCAACATGAATAGGCATCAACAGGTACAACAAGCAGCAAGATTAGGCCTACATAAGCTTTAGATAAAAATTATCGAATAGATGATATGTTTAAAATAAAGACATAAAAGGAGAAATAAATAACACAAGGAAAAAGCCCCAAGGCATTATGTACATAAAAAAAAGAACAGATTTTCTAGAAATGGAAAGTATGATAACCAAATTGAAAAGCCCAATGGATAGTTGAACCAGCATGACAGACAGGGCAATTTCACTCATCGGCCCTCCCGCCGGTGGCACAGAGTTCCTGTGACTCTACACCTTTGCCAACACTGGGGGGTGGTGCAAACTATACACAGCTAGGCAAACCGCAGGCAGCATTGTGTCTGTGCAGAATCCAGCCCATCCAGCCAAGAACTTCCTTCTCCTGGGATTCAGCATTTTAGAGACAGAAGGTCTGTAAACCTCATCCCTTCTCTGCCTGTTTTGTTTTTGTTTTTGTTTTTGTTTTGTTTTTTGTCCCTGAGAGAATTTGGTCATTGGAGGTCGGTTCTCAGCAGGGCTCTCCCACAGTGACTGCCTGACATCAGGCAGTTCTTTCTGTACCTGGGTCCCACACCCCGAAGCCTCTTACCCCGTGGCTCCAACATCCTGCTTTTCCTGCTTCTGGTCTTAACTATGCTAATCCCTAGGTTGTCTTGTTTGCTCACTGTGCACCTCTTTCAGCCTCTCCCTTCCTCCTCGGCAGCCCCAAGTTTAACCCAACTCTCATAATTCCTTTTCCTGTCAGCCAGTCTCTGACCCAATGCAAACAAATACGGCTCTGTTATTAACATGCAGTAGCATAAAGCCCAGCCAAGAGTTATGTAATACACCTATAGCTGGAAAGGTACCAGAGCTATCGTTTTTCAGCCTGGTAGAGCCTGAAAACCCAGAGGTACTATGGTGTATGGTTAAAGTATGAACGGAGGCGGAATCTTACTTAGATCCACTATTTAGCTGTGTGATCTTAGGCAAGTTGCTTAGCCTCTCTGTGCCTCAGTTTTCTCATATGTAAAACAGAAATCATAGTATGAGCTTTCCAAGGTTGCTCTAAGAATTAAGTGCATTAGTGTGTATAGTGTTTAGAACAGTGCCTAACATATAATGAACACTGTATATATTAGCTACCATCATTATTAATACTTGAAATCGGGATTGTCCCAAAAAATAGTAGATGGCAGTCATGACATTGAAATGAGATATGAGACACTACAGTGTCAGAAAGTGCTACTTCAACTATGCAACTGGTATTTTCTTCTATGCGTTCTCTCTTTCTCAAGGTTCATCCAACAAGTATGTAGTTCTTATTCTTCCAACCAGCCAAGAAAATTTCCTAGTCCTCCCTGTCAAATCCAGTGTTTGGCCACCAAAACAGTTACAGCCTCCTTGTTTCTGCCTCATGCCCTTTAGCTCTCCCTTCTACAAATCAATCCTCTTGGAGCAGCTAATAAATCTTATACTTTTGGTATCGTCTTTGGTACACCAAGGGGTGTGACACCCATGAATGAACTCAGATCCTGAAGTCTTAGGCACTATCAGCTCAAAAAGATATACATTAATTAATTTAAAAAGTAAGCCTTTAATTTAGAATAGCCTTTCCCTTGACTAATCTCAAAATAATAAGCTTTTATCGAACAGCTTTTTGTAAATGGGCATTTTTGCAATTTCAGACATCGGGAATCCAGGCAGGTCCCAAGAAGTATAATGAATTATTTAGATCATCCCTGCACTCTACTGAAATGCAGCTTTTCACCTTCAACTTCTCCTCACATTCTAACACTACCTGTTTTCAAGAACTCATTAGTTTTTAGTGATCAGCCTCATATTCTTTCTAGGGATGGTTTTAGTATTTATCAACAATTATTGGACTCCTAATTTATGCTGAGCTGTTACAGGGTTTTGGGGAGTCAAAGATGAACTAAAGAGGATATTTTCTGGAGGTGCTCAGAGCCTGGGGGAGATATGGATGTATACACAGGCATGGTTTGAAGTGATTAGCAGTGTTAACAGAAGTGTAAGTCTATGGGGGACATGGCAGCAGGTGAAAGCAGAGAGCCCAGGAAGGGGCAGTGAAAGGGGACATCAAGGTAGAGATCACATTGAGTTTGAGCCTTTTAAGGTTGTGTACGAGTTCACTAGGCAGGAAAAAGAGAACTTGTCATGCATTGTAGACAAGAGCCACTGAGTTGGGTGGGGGGAACCTGGAAGGAGATGCCACTGGAGAGGAGGTTGAAGTGAGAGTCCAAGGGACATAATTGAGAAGCTACCAATGGTAGCTTGTGAGTCTTCAATGGGGAAGACTCACACGATCACATTCAGCCATCAGAAAGAACTTTAACCGAGTCTCTTCAGAGTCTCCTTGTACATCTCCCAAATTGCAGACACCCAGGTTCCATTATTTTTCACAAGCTCAAGAAATCAGGCAAAATATTCCCCTCAAGGGAGTGTTTGAGGCCCCAGTGGTAGCGCTGAGAGAGTTAAGAGAGGTCGGGTGGCGAGGCTGTGCTTCCCTGCCTGCGGAGCGATGTCCTACTGGGGAAGGTTACAGGAATCTTGGCAGAGAGAGGGATTGGTCCCCCCAGGGGAGACAGGGTTAAAGAATCCTGGAGTAGAAGTCAGAAGAGCAGACTAGGGTGAGACTTAGACATCTCACCTCCTGCCACCACAGTTTCTTCTCCTACACCCCCAGTGTGGCTTGAGCTGCAGCATCTTCGAGCTCTCTTCCAGCTCCAAAACTCTGTGCATAAAACTACATGCTGACTCCCAAACTCCCTTTGAACACTAACCTCAGTTTCAACCAAACATCTTCTCATTTGGCCTGTTTGCCTTTTACTTCCCTTTTCTACCTCACATCCCCAGGGAGACCACAGGGGAGCACCCAGAGCAAGAGAAATTGATGGGGTGAGGGCGGCTGGGTGCTAATCTCCAGGAAGTTGCCACATCTGTTAGGTCATGCCTGACGTCCCCTGTCTGATTTGAAGAACTGTAGCTTGAGAACTTTCCATTTGCTTGAAACACCACCCTACGCTAGAAGCAGGCAGTATCGGTTGACAGAAACCATGGGCAGGGAGTTCATTAACCCAATGGCCAGTCAACAAAAGAGGCAATTGAGGCTGATGGTGCTTCTTATAGCAACTGTCAAGGGTACACATAAATTGCTGCTTCTAGCCTGTAATAACAAGACATAATATTTTGTTTTTTCCAATACCTTTCATTGGCTGCAATCATACGACTTTTTCAAACAAACCTTCATTAGTAACGATCAATGAAAAAAAAATGCCTAAAAGTAACAAGATCAAAGAAAAGCAGATGAAAGACCTTCTTGATGTGTTAGGATGGATACTTTCCTGTTTACATTTCTTTTTAACTTACGCTTTTTCTTAAGTATGCTTTCTAGCAGTAAATTTCCATGCGCGTTTTTCCAGGAGTTCTTGGAACCACCAGACTTCTCAGCCCACACTATTAAAAGCAAATTCACTATTTCTGTGTTTCAGCCGATTGAAACTTTCTTTTACATGAACTGCCAACGAGTTTACGGTTTTCTTAATGTGCCCATTAAAGTCGGTAAATTACAGGGACCCGCACGTCTTAGAAGGCAAAGATTGCAAGAAGGTTAAAACCGAGGGAGAGCTGGAGCGACATTAGACAGCTGCAGCGAAAGCGACGTCCGCCCCTGACCCCCCAAGAAAGGCAGCTGTAATTTTCTCCACTTCTCGGGCTGTCACCCTCCCCGCGGAGCTCTGTAGCCGCGGCACCCGCGGCCTCCGGGCCGCCGAGCCGAGCCGGGCGCGAGCGGCGGTGCTTACCCCGGCCGAGGAGCGCGAGCGCGGGCAGCAGGGCACAGACGCGGGCGGCGCGGGCAGCCGGCATGTCAGCTCGCCGGGCGCTCGGGACGCTGGCCGCGCTGCAGCCGCCCCGAAACGCGAACATTTCCTGTTTCCTGCTTGTTTGGGTCGGTGCTAACTCGAAGGAGAGGTGTTTGCCTGTTTTTTAGGAAGTGATGTAATTCTGCAGGAGCCTGTCAGACCAGCGAGGATTGCGACAGAGAAGTTGCTCCTCCAGCACCGATTCGGCTAGCACCTCTCTCAAGGCCTGCGGAGTCCCGGCCTCCGCCTTTTGAAATCGCCCTCGCGGCGACAGTGTCCCTTGCTCAGATGTCATTCGGGGTCTGGGACTAGGGGGTCCTGGACCACACACATTCTCGCTCTGTGATTTCGCTCGTCCCCCAGGTGAGACTCTTGGGGCTGCCTAGAGCCAGGGCAGCGCTGTCCACTAGAACTTTCCGCGATGATGGACATGTTCTAGATCCGCGCTGTCCAGTACAGTAGGCATTAGCCACGTTGGCTACTGAGCACTTGAAATGAGACGAGGCTAGTGCGAATGGCATTTGTAAGTTTATTTAATTTTTGTACAATTTTAATAACTCCCCGTGGCTAGTGGCTGCGGTGTTGGACAGAGCAGGCCCAGAGAGCAGAGACAACTGTACCATCAGAAAACTGCCAGATCACTTCTCCCCAGCCAGACATGTCCTCCTCCCTCAGCCCTTGAATGCCCGCCTCCCACCTAGGCCCACCCCAGCTCAAGGGCAGTGCTAAACCCATGCCCAAAGGCTGTGCTCTGCTTCCCAGAGGGAAATGTTGTCAAGGTCCATCCAAAGGAGAATGTGCTCTGGGGGTGGAGGGTGTCGGGGAATCTGTATCCCCCCTTTCTTTTTTCTTGCATGACAATACATTCCTCAGCCGTGGTTAACAACAAACAAAACAGAGCGGAATTGAAACAGAATGAAAGTGGAACTCCTACACAGTTGAAATGAAGCAAGAAAGAGGTGTTTAGTATACTGGGGAGATTAGAGAGTGTCAGGTGTTCTATCTGAAGTCCTTCCCTTGGTTTAGGTTTAGGGCCTAAGGACTACAGAACGCAGTTTCATAATCACATCTGTTGTGGTGCCAAGAGAGACAGGCAGATGGAGAGAGGGCCAGTGTGGAGGCATCAGACATATCTCATCTCTGACCCCTCCCCTGCAGAGCGCCTTCTGAGTCACCGCTTTCCGGTTGCTTCTTCTTCGGTGATCTGGTTGGTGTAAACACACAAGGTGACGAATTCCTCAGCCCCTGACACAGCCGTTAATTTTTACTTTAATGCATTGCTGCTTTTCAGTGTCATTAGTCACTGTTTATCTCAGTTCTTATCTACAAGAAATAGGTTGGTGATTCATGTACTGATCAGTGTGTTAATGGTTTGGCAGTATGCATTTTAATGTTTTAAACTGCTTTATTAAGTCGACTCAATAAAATACGCTTTCTGCACCTTCGGTGACAACACAGAACAAACAGCAGGAGAAAATAGTTGTGCTCAAAACTGGATGATTGATTTGAAAACAACAGAGAAAGAACTATTAATTAAACTCTTGCTGAGCATATGAATAGACCATTGGCTCCAAGACCCTCTAGCACTGAGTGGGGCCGGCAATTACTCCCGTACAAGCACACGTTTCTCCAGCTGTGACCCACACATGCCAGAGAGAAGGCCCAGGGCTTGGGAGTTCTCTTCCTTTAGCATTTATACCCTATTAAAACCATTGTTGGATCCCAGGCTTGAGGCAAGGTTGTCAGTCTTAGTTTCTTCCATTTTGCAACTACAGCTCGCTGCGGAAGCTTTTGCAGAGTCAGGTATCTGAGGATGGACCGCAGACTGTCTTATTCTGTAGACCTCTGCTGAGCCCGGTGGCCTGGCCAAACAGCTCCCCACAGTCTCAACAGTGTGCTCTGCGTTGCCTCTGAGCAGTGCGACACTAAATCAGTTAGAATGGTGTGCAAAATGAACTGGGCTGCAGAGAAATCCTGCACAACCGTGTAATTTTCTTTCAACCCCTGCGCTCTTGAAGACCCTTAGCATGATTAAGCTGATCTCAGGGGGAAGAAAATTACCATCATCCATCAGAAAATGGCAGTACCTCAGTGAGACTGTGTGGTGGTGGGTAAAGGGCTATTTACCTGTGTTTGTTTTAATTTTACCAACCACTAATTTTGGCAAGTGGGCCCCAAGCCTCGGATTAAATCCTGATGCACTGGTGGCAGGAAGTCAGGGCCTGAGTCACAGACGTGGGGCACGAGGAGACTTCCAGTGAATGGCAGGCACATAGGCAGGGGTGACACTTAGGTGTCTGCCATTGGCTTTCTGAAAGGAGGAAAGAAGTATGGGGCCTAGGAAATGGCCTGAGCCCTCAGCATGGTCAGGAGGCCAGGAGGAGACCCGGTTGCTACCTCTAGGGACTCTATTACTTTACACAAAGGAGTCTGACTTTTACAATCAACTGTCTGTGTCACAGAAGTGACTCTCATCTAATTCCTCCTCCCTGTTTCCCTCCTCTTCCCCAAGTCCATGGGCCACAAAAGAGGAGGGACTCCCAGGGAACAAACCCAGACAAGTGATAAGATTTTACAGTGAGTGTAGACTCCCTTCTCTGCGTTCCCATTTGAGCATTCCCACTCACACCGACGCACACACACTCTCATTCACACACACACACAGCTCCCTGCCACACAAACACCCATGCACCCTGTGGAAATGAATGAAGACCAACCAAATGAGAACAAGCAACGGCTATTTAATCCAGAGCTTGCTACAGCAAGGGAGTCAGCCACCATCACTGTGTTTTGGCAGGGACCCCAGGGCAGGCAGAGGAGAGAGAAAGCTTTACAGTGGGAAAAGGAAGGCTCAGGTGTGCCCTGAAGGGAGGCTGTTGGCCTGGAGAACTCGCAGCAAGTCCTAGGTGTTGGTTCTGGTGACTGTGAGGGTTGCATATGTGGCTTCTCCTAAGTTGAAAGCGGGGATGAACATGAGGGAAGCTGTCAGATAGTGACCTGAATTCCTGCATGTCTGATTTATCGTGAGCTGCCTTCCTGGACTCCCTACTGTAGGTAGTGGGTTGTTTTCCCGGGCTGGTTGCTGCAAATTGTGGGTCAAAGTTCTGTTTTTATATATGATCTGGCCATCGTCCATTTGTATATTCAGTCTGCCAACACACACCTACATGCACACTCACATATTCATAAACGTGCATACACGCTCACACACGTAAACACCCACACTGACATGCATACTTTCTGGGGCTTCTTTTTCTGTGTAATCGCCAGCTGGTGGTAATTGCTGGCTCCCTGGTGTTTGGTTAGCAAGGGCCGGTCCTCAGATAGGGCACTAGTAATATCAGGTGGGGCCTGAAGATCACTCTGAAGGCAGTGGGGAAGCTGCAGGGAGGGGACAGATTAAGGTCCTGGGTTCTGAAGGAATGGCCCAGAGAGGAAACCCCACAGGGCAGGGTGGGGGCAGAAGGGTTGGACTGAACCCCAGAGCGTACAGGCAAGCCACTGCCAGGAGATAGGCTGGTGGCAATTTCCCTGCCTCTGAAGCTGTAGCAGCTGGAGCCTGCACAGCCAGGTCCATCCTGACCAGCCCACTGCACCCGTGTGGTCTCTGTCCCTGCATCCTGGCCACCAGCTCTGGTCACACACACTTCGGCTGGCCGTTCAGAGAAGCCACTACAGGGTTCGGAGAATCTGAGGGGCTTCTACCACAGGCCTCAGCTGTACCTCCTCGATGACAGGGTCCTCCAGGGCCTGAGCAGATGGCCTGGTCACCACAAAATGAAACTGAAGAGGATTATGATTAGGAGCTAAAGTGGCAGTTGGCACGTGGGACAAAATGCAGAGCTCGGGTCTAGAGCAGCGGTCCCCAATCTTTTTGATACCAGGGACGAGTTTCATGGAAGACGGTTTTTCCACAGACGGGGCGGGGGAGGGTGTTGGATTCTCATGTGGAGCGGGCAACCCGAATCCCTCGTATGTGCGGTTTGCAGTGGGGTACCGCTCCTACAAGGGCCTGATGCCTCCCACCACTCACCTCCTGCTGTGCAGCCCATTCCTGGTGACGGTCCTCGCTCAGGGGTTGGGGAGCGCAGATCTAGAGGACCCTTTGGCAGCACCTGAGAAGAGGGAGAACATGGGCCCACTGGCTCAGAGTCCATGGTCTTCCTCCCATTGCCCCGAGGGCAGGGGCTTCCCCGTCTTGTTCTCCAGCGTATCACACAACAGGAATGACTATGAGGTTACTTTCACAGCAGTATTTTTTTTAAAGTGGACTGGAGGCGCCACCTACGTGAGAACTATTTGGGGGAGCTGGTTCACAGGCAGAATCCTGGAGCCTACCCCTGAACTATGGAGTCAGAATCTCTAGAGTTGAGGACCGGAACTCTGCGTTTTTAATGACGTTTGAGTGGATTTGTATACAGAATAAAACTTGAGAATCACAGTTGTTAGTTCCTGGAAAGGTAGTTCCCTTTTCTCAAAAAGGAAGAAATAAGTAGCACATGATGTTTTCCCTTTTTGCCTTGACTGCCAGGAAGCCTAGAACTAAAAATTAAGCTTGTTTGTATAAATTTTATTCGCATAGATGTCTTTACCACTTCTAGAACTTTTCCTTCCCTGGCTAATTCTAACTCATCTTTCAGGGCCTAGTTCAGGAGACATCTCTAGGAGGGAGCTGTCTCAGAAGTCCCTCCCACCCCCAAGGCTAGACAAAGTGCCCATCCTCTCCCATGGCCCCCGTTACACCTATCAGAACAGATCAAGAAGACTCCCCTTAACTCCCCCTCCTTGACTGCCCCCCCTTGATGAGTCAAACTCATCTGCGACCTCCCACACTTGTTAAAGGAACTAAACTTCCTTTTACTGCTGTTTTGTTTTTGATCAAGTTGTATCTTAATGCCTTTTTTCTCCTAAGTCTCTTCAATTATTTTTGCAAGTAGGACATACATTATTAATAAATATATAGTATCTAAATCAAAGTCCACTCCAGAATGATACATGCAGACTAATAATCTCAATGTTTTTTTCTTTTTTCTGTTT